AATAAGTAACTACTCAAAAGTAGTAACTATTGCCAAGGAAGGAGTTTTAGACAGACGCCATCAAGAAAAGCAGAGTCCTTTTAGTCTTTGAGGACCAGTTAGTGTCCCTGGATTCATTTTTCCCCTCTAGCCTTTTAGGGCCTCCTTTCAGAATTTAGACCTTTGCTGTCTTCCTATTTCAAGGAGTCTATTCAACCCGTAACAGGGAGATATGCTGCCGGGAGTCACATGTCTCAGAAAGCTGTGATTCGGGGGGGGGGGGGGGGGGGGGGGGGGGAGTGAAATTTCAGGTGATGAGATTACAGAATGAAAGCGTAACTGACCCTGCAGCAATATTCTGGAGAAAGATGGTAGATAAGAAATAAAATCAGAGAGGCGCCTGGATGGCTCAGTGGGTTGGACATCTGACTCTTGATTTTGGCTCAGGTCACAGTCCCCAGGGATTGTGTGATCGAGTCCTGTGTCAGGCTCTGCATTGAGTGTGTAGCCTGCTTCTTAAGATTCTCTCTCTCTTCCACTGCCCTTCTCTCCCTCTAGTGTGCTCTAAAATTTAAGAAAAAAAAAAAGTAAGAAATGTCACTGGAGACCTTACTTTTGGTTAATCATTTCTAAGACTTCTCTGACTCATTTACCTGACAGTGGCTTTGACTGACCAAAGGCAGAGAATATGCAACTTTTAGTTTCATATATATAACTTTGCTCTGTAACCACAATAAGAAGGCGAGCTCAAACTTGCAGCCAGAAGGGTTTGAGATACAAAGATCACTCACTTCCCAGAGATTGTGAGACCGCATTTTCTGAGTTTTCTTCCCTCACTGGAAGGATCCATGTGGGATGGATTAAATGCAGGATGGTCCATGTGACCTCTTAAGATGGCCAGTGACAGTTACAGAACTAAATGGTGGTTAATGTACTTACAATCACTTGTGTATTAGCTTTCCTTAAATGGGAACATACCCATTAAAAATCAAACTGGGCTCCTCATTGTTAAGGTACTTGGAGTCCAGAAGGGTGAAATCATGGTGTTGTGCAGTACATAGAATTATATGGAAAAATGCCAAAGAGCTATTGCAAAATAAAGCGGTGAGGAAAACTAGGAAACCGTTCCTAAAAGATAAGGGAGAGGTTTGGGGTAGGTGTTAAGACCAGAGCGAGACGTGATGTGACGGCGCCACCCACCAACAGCCGCAGGAATGGGAGCGAGAGGCTCTGCGCCTGGCTTGAGGGGGGATGTTTTCTGAAACTTGTCTCCGCTCCCCCAAGTGCTTGTGTTCCGTCACCTCCCTGCACGACTCGGCCATCAACTGTCTCTCGTGTGAGACCTGAGGGTCATGCTTGTCTTTCAGAACTGTGAGAATGTTCCTTTTATGCGGCCTCCCCGGCCCACAGCCCTGCAAGAGAACCCTTTTTCCAAACCCACCGCTTCCGAGTGTTCATCCAGGAAAGCAGCCAGGGACACCACAGTGACACAGGCCTCGGGGAAGGTTTACACGGCTCAGAAGCGCCCTCCTGCTTTCTGCCGAAAGAGGGGACGGGCAGTGGCATCGCTCTGAGCAGGGTCCCCAGGCTGGCGCGCACCCAGTTCTGCTCTCGGAGCACGTGGCTGCAGGCAATTTTGTTCCCCTTGAGTAACTCCTTTCACCTGACCCTTGAAGGAATGACCGCCACCTCGAGGCGCAGCGGCCTGATCCGCCGCACGCTGAGCCCGGTGCCAGGGCCCAGGGGCCAGGGGGAAGCGTGAGACCCTGCGCGACGGCTTTCACACGAGGCAGAGCGAGTGTTCTGGTAGAAGCACAGTGTGTGGTGGGAGCACGGGGGAAGGAGTAAAAAGTGAAGAGGGAAAACTAGAAGGCCTGTCGCACCTCTGTGGAGCAAAAGGGCCTCATGTATGTATGTATGTATGTATGTACTTTGTGTAAAATCCAGATGCATCAAGGAAGCTTTGCAGAGAGATAATAATGCCAGCCCAGGGCTGGGGCATAGACCACATGGGACACGTTCGGGGACAAGTGAGTCACCCAGTAGCTGAAGAGGAGGATGATGGGACAGCGGGGTGTCGGGACAGAAGCTAGTAGGTTCTGAAGGGGGAAGGTTTTCAGTCTGCTGACGCGGAGTATCGCCAAGCTCTGGAGACAGGACGGCAGTACCAACGCTTTTCTGTATTCATTCAGGGTTCCTATACGTTCATTGGCTTGTCCATTCAACGAGCATTTATTCATCATTCTCCCTGTGACACCATTAATCCAGGGGCGAGGAAGGAAGAATGATAAGACAGTTTCTTTCCTGGAGGAAATCTCAGTCTGGTGGAGGGGACGGGTACCAGGGGTAACCGACACAGATAATCACTGCCACCTGCTCCAAGAACAGAGTGGAGCAAGTGATTGATTATGCTTGTTGGAGGCAGAGGATGGTCAGAAAAAGCTTTAAAAGGTGTGTCGGTTGAGCTGAGTTTTAGGGATAAATAGGGGCAGGAGCTTGCCAGACTGAAGCGGGAAGCCTTTCAGATGGCGGGGCCAATGCAACGGCCCCAGAAGCTCGGCTGCATCACACGCTGGGAGTAAGGGGCGCTTGCTGAGTGGGTTCAGAGTGGAAAGGGAAACCAGAAGAGACTGGAGAGGTAAGTTAGAGCTGGAATACGGCTTAGTCCTGAAGGCAGTGAGGCGATGTTGAAAATGTGTAAGCTGGGATGTCAGGAAAGTAAACGTCTGAAGGATACAGGGAGGATCAGAGAGGTCCTGACAGACGGGAGGGAGACACACTACTAGCCCTTTCATTTATGCAGAAGGAAAACCAGTAGGACCTGAACTGGGGTGGATTCAGTGGGACCCGACAGGGTGGTCGAGTGAGCAGTTATGATGTGGGTAAGTCCCGGGTTTCCGGCTTGAGTGACTGGTGTGCTCCTAAGACTGGACAGTCAGGAAGATGATGATGAGTTCGTTCTCGAATAAGGTTAAGGCTGGAATAAAATTATGTGAAACATTGAACAAGCTTTTTCGGTTACTACAGGATACGTGTGATGTGCTCCCCCACCCCCACCCCACCTTAAAATCCTCCAGGGACTCCCCTGTTCCCAGCAGCCCCAGCCTGGCCCCTCCACTGTCACTGCTCAGCCCCACCTCCTAACACACTTGTTCCAGCCCGAGCAACTCGCACTTCCTTCACCTCGCTGGGTCGTGTTCTACTTCCGTATACCTCTAACTAGACCACCGTTTCCCGTTTTCCTTCTCTTGCTTTTTGCCTGGCCAATTTCGAGAGTCACTCAAAGGTAAGATCTTCAAAGAAGCTTCCCCTGACGTTCTCTACCACCACCGCTAGGGAGGGTTAGTATAAATCTGCCAAAAGCTAAGTACTCACCCACATGATTGTAATGATTTGTATACACGTCCCCTCTTCCACCACTATGTCCCCCAGGACAGGAGGCATCTGTGTATCCACTGTGCCCAGCCCCGATGGAAAAGAGGACGTCAGTAAATGTTTGTTAAATGAACAGATCCCAGGGGGGGAATCCAGCCTTATATCTACCATTGGCTCCACCGCCCTTTGTTCCCAGCTCTCCATTATCTGGAGGCTAGGTGTTCAGTCACCTAGGCCCATGGCACTTGGCTTGGTTATGTGTGTGAAATGGAATAGAAAAAGAGGAAGAGCCCTGAGGCCCAAAGAGGAGGGCCGCTGAAGGTTTGAGGACTGAAATGGAACTCCCCAAGTGGTCAAGGATGCAAGTTTACAGGACAGCCTAGCCTAGACTAGCCCCGTGTCCCTTCTTCTCTCTAAACTACTGGGCCCTATTTTCTATCACCATCTGGTGGCCACATCCATAAATAACAAGCTCCCCAAGAGCTAAAGGAGCTTCTTTCTGTCAGGCACAGGTTCCATGGATTGGCCTCGGAGGGCTATAGCTCCTCGCCCACCCCAGCTGTAACATGCATATTTGTATGAATACAAGGTTTGCCTCATGCTGGTAAGAAGTACCAAGACCTTTTATGTTTTAATTATTATTTTATTTTACTTTATTTTACATTATTTTAGAGCATGAGCCAGGGAGAGGGGCAGAGGGTAAGAGAGAGAGAATCTCAAGCAGGCTCCATGCTTAGCATAGAGCCTGACATGGGCCTCCGTCCCACAACCCTGGGATCATGACCTGAACCGAAATCAAGAGTTGGATGCTCAACCGACTGAGCCAGCCAGGCACCCTGGAAGAGCCAAGAACTTTTAATCACATTCTTAAAGAAGCCTATAGTTTCCAAAAGGCTGACGGTGGGAAAACTGACACATAAAATAAATGGCTTGTTTGCTACTTTGTGACACCAATTTAAGGGTTCTTTCCACTGTCTCATGGCTTTTATATACAAATGTATGTATTCTGTGGTTCTGTGGTACTTACAGCAGTGAACAAGTGGGTGGCATAGCTGTCATGTTTATCCAGAGGGGTGAGGGGTAAGAGTGACCTCTGCCAATCACAGCCAGGTGGGGGTAAAGGGAGGGATAAATGCTAATACCACTAAACATCTATATATTAGATATACTGAAGTCAAATTTCTGAACAGTCTTCAAAGTATGGGTTTTTTTTTTTTAATGTTTATTTATTTTTGAAAAAGAGAATGCATGATCGGGGGTAGGGGATGGGGGACAGAGAGAGAGGGAGACAGAGGATCCAAAGCAGGCTCTGTGCTGACAGCAGTGAGCCCCATGTGGGGCTTGAACTCACGAACCATAAGACTGTGACCTGAGCCAAAGTCTGAAGCTTACCTGACTGAGCCACTCAGGTGCCCCTAAAGTATGTTTTTAATCACTATTTTTGGAGATACATTCACTGAAGCTCAGAGACACTGCTTTGGCCAAAGTCACACAGCTAGTAAATCAAGATAAACCAGCCTGCCTCTTCAGCCTATTTTGACTCATCAGTCAGCCCCCCAGGGCTGGGAAGAGCCAGCTTGCCTCCCAGCTAGACAGCCCCGGCCTCCTCTAACCTGCTCCATCCCTTCCCTTCTTCTCTCTCTTAGGAGTGCCAGCTTCTCTCAGGGCACCAGGGCCTCGTTTCTCATGAGGAGCGACACAGCTGTACAGAAACTTGCCCAGGGTAATGGGCACTGCGTCAACGGGGTCAGCGGTCAAGTCCATGGCTTCTATAGCCTCCCCAAGCCGAGCCGGCACAATACAGAATTCAGAGACAGCACCTACGACCTCCCCCGGAGCCTGGCCTCCCACGGCCACACCAAGGGCAGCCTCACAGGCTCCGAGACCGATAATGAGGACATATACACCTTCAAGACACCCAGCAACACTCTATGCCGGGAGTTTGGGGACCTCCTGGTGGACAATATGGACGTTCCAGCCACCCCGCTCTCAGCCTACCAGATCCCTAGGACGTTCACGCTGGACAAGAACCACAACGCCATGGCAGTGGCCACTCCCGGGGATTCGGCCGTAGCTCCCCCTCCCCGACCCCCCAAGCCAAGTCAGGCAGAAACACCTCGGTGGGGCAGCCCTCAGCAGAGACCTCCAGTCAGCGAAAGCAGCAGACACGTCGCCGCCGCTGCCACCATCCCCAGGCGCAATACCCTCCCGGCCATGGACAGCAGCCGGCTCCACCGAGGTTGGTGCAAACCCCGGCCGCCGCCCTGGGGAAGGGAGGGAGTGTAGCGGTTCTCGGCAACGCGCTAGCCTTTGGCCATCCAGGCCGAGGAGACGCACAAGTTTGGACGTCTTGTACCCAGACCCCTGCCCTCCCAGCGGGGCCTCCAGCACTGGAGGCTAGTCGCCGCGGTGCAGGGGTGCAGCCGCCTCTGTCGGAGAGAAGTTACTGTTCTCCTGAGGGAGATGGAACATTCTTGGTTAACCACAGCATCAATTATTATGGGTTTCAAAGTCCAAGTCATAATATTTGGTTCGTTTTTATATAAAACCAAAGACAAAAAGTAAATTTAGAGGACCATTTAAAACCGGAGCCAAACCCTATTAAAACAAATTTCCAGCCGCTAAATATTTTCTGAGCCACACTTGAATCTCTGGTTAAAGTCTGCACTTGTCTCTGACGCATATACATTTTGTCTTTGGTTCCCCCCGAGCACATTCTAGCTCTGTGTAAGCCACCTCTGTTTGATGAAAGGCTACAGTAATATTAAATCCTTTCACTTTGCATCTTGATGAAGAGCTTGAAAGTCTGCTCTAACCCACCCTGTTGCCGAAGTCACCTAGTGACCCTGAGAGTTTGGTGGGACAAAGCCTCAGTCTCCCATTTCGTATGAGGCCCGTGGTAGTTAAGAGACATTCAGGGCTGCAGAGTCCGTCAGTGGCAGAGGTGGGACTTGGACCCGGGGTCCTGAGTCTCGGCACAGTACTCTCTCAGTCCATCAGTCACCTTGTGCTTTGGAATTGACATGATACCGACGTAAATAAAACATGTCCCTGCCCTTCAGAGAGCTCACATCTAGCTGGGAAATAAAACCGACACACAGAAGTTGGTCAAGTATTCTTATTCCTGTAGCGTTTGTATGAGCGATGGCGGCGGGGAGTGGGACAGGCACCTAGTGGTGCAGGAGTTAGAGAGGCGCGTGCCTGACGGAAGAAGTAGTTCAGAAGGGACCCTCTGTCGGTGCCAATACTGGAGCTAGATCTAGACGCCTGGTGGGGGAGGAATTTTTGAGCTGAGGCCTTACGTGATGGAAATAATACCCTATCACTTGGGGTGGAGAATAGTATCTTCTGGAGTAAGACCCTGAGCGACCCTGGTGAGGGTTTGGGGAAGGGTCAGCACGTGGATCCCCTGTGAGTGCGCATGGATATCCGTTCCTCTCTCGTAGCTTCCTCCTGTGAGTCCTACGAGTACCCTCAGCGAGGGGGCGAGAGCGCAGGCCGGTCTGCCGAGTCCATGAGTGATGCGGTCCGTTCTTTCCTGGTGAGTGGGGGTCGGCCAGGGGGCCTCCGGCCAGCCCAGGGGGTTAAAGGTCACACCCCATGGAACAAGGGAGTGATGGCACCGCCCTCTCAGGACCCTGCCTAGTTTCTTGTCTCCGTTCAGATCCCGGGTTGAGTTTTTAGAAAGTAAGATTCAGGTGTCCGCTGTGGAAGTGTGCTAGACTACAGGACCCGGGCTCCGAGGGGAGGGGCTGCGGCGTGAGACTCCGCGTAGGGACAGGGCTCAGTCAGTCCTGCTGGCAGAATGATGGTCTGAGCACAGGGTCCCGGACTGTCCTCTGGACAGGGCTGACCACGGCTCTCTGAGCAGACTCGGGCCTGGCTTCATGCCCGTTGGAAAGACTGGACGTTGGGTAACCAAAGCAGAGGCAGCTTAGTTTTGTGTGTGGACAGACAGGGCAGGAGTTGACCGCCTACAGCCAGGGGTAGTGCAGGGTTCCTGCACTGTGTAACCTGGTGGCAGCTCCGAGTGCAGCTGGCGGTCACACCAAAGGCTGGGCTAGGGAAGCACAACCAGCCCGCACCTCGCCAGCCAGGGCCAGCTGCTTTCATGCTCCTTGCCCTGCTAGGGCTTGAGATGCTGACCTGCTAATGGCGAGTGTGGACTTGAGGTGGAGTGAGGGTCCTAAACCAAAGCTGTGTGTTCTGTGGCCTGCGCCCGCAGCCTTGGTCAGGCACCCAGAAAGCCTTGTGGACATAGCCACCAAGGGTGTTTATTCTAAAGAACTGTTGCAAAATTTAAGCAGGTCACAAGGGATCATGGAAACTAGAAGGGACCCACAGACTTGATTTCTTTCTGCCTCCCACTGCTCTTTCTTACTTGGTGTTCCCAGAGTAACTAACTCAGTTATAACTTCCCTTGCCTCGTATGTAAATTCTCACCCCTTCTTGTTTCTTCGTGGTAGTTACTGCTATATTTCTTCCACTCTCCCTCCCAGCCAGGGAAAACGCTCGTAGGCCGATCAGATAGCGCCAATTCTGAGGACAACTACGTGCCCATGAATCCCGGTTCCTCCACCCTGCTGGCCAAGGAGCGAGCAGGTGATAATTCCCAGAGTGTCTACATCCCCATGAGCCCAGGACCCCATCACTTTGATGCGCTTGGCTACCCCTCAACAGCCCTTTCTCTGCACCGGGGGCCCAGCCGAGGGAGTGAGATCCAGCCACCCCCTGTCAACCGCAACCTCAAACCTGACCGGAAAGGTAAGTCCACTCTGTCTCCTGCCCCATCTCCGGACAGTGTGCAGGAACCATTTTCATTCATTCACTTTCTTTTGGGGATCGGGTAGAGCCTGAACTTTCCTTGCAGGGAAGTGTTCGGTCTCGGAACCACCCTGAACTCCCACACACGGCACACTCAGTCGTTCCAGTGGTCTAGCAGCCTAGGGGCTGGCTGCTGGAGTAGCCTGGGTAGGAGTGAGCATCAGGACCGGGCACATTAGGGCTCCAGCTCTGTCACCTGCCAACATGGGGTTCCAGGCGAGTCAGTGTGCGTCTCTGAGCCTTGTTTCTCATTTGAGAACTGTGGATACTTGCCTCCCAGAGCACTGAGGGACACAGGTGCTGTATCTGAAAGTGCCTTATAAAGCATGAGATGCTTTTGGAGGATATAGGATGAGTATTAAATCTGGGGGGAATAATCTCTTGTCAGACTCCATGTCCCCATTATGGATTCTGAAAATATGATTGCTACAGTGCAGAGAAAATATCATTTGGGATCTGAAGACATGACCTCAAGGCCTATCAACATAGACAAAGATTATAGAACCTGCTGAGCCTCCGTTTCCCCGCTTGCAAGTGGGAATACAAAAGCATCTACGTACTTTGTGTGTGTGTGTGTGTGTGTGGCGTTATCATCAGTGGCTGATCATTCAACTTTCTGTCCCTGCTCCAGCAAAGCCAACACCACTTGACCTGAGAAACAACACTGTCATCGATGAGCTCCCCTTCAAGTCCCCTGTCACCAAGTCTTGGTCTAGGGCTGTGTGAGTATCTGTTTGTGGACATGGGAGCTGGGAACAGGGCTGTGGGGAATGGCCAGGGGAAGGGCGGGTCCGGGGAGCTGCATCCCGATGCGGGCCACAGCTGAGCGGTCCCTTGGGCTCTCGGGGCTGGGTTTCCTCATCCGTGGAGACAGAGTGATGGTACCTGCCCTGTATCAGATCCAAACGTGATAATGGGCGTGTGTAGCTGTGAGGGCGGGGGTCTGGGTGCCAGAACTGCCCCCCCACCCCAGCTTACTCGGTCTTCTCCCCACCCAGTCACACCTTCAACTCCAGCTCCTCCCAGTACTGCCGCCCCATCTCCACACAGAGCATCACCAGCACGGACTCTGGAGACAGCGAAGAGAACTACGTCCCTATGGTACGTCCTCTGCGGTCCTCAGGAGTGCCCCCCTCAGGCTTCCCTGGGGCCCCCGCCGTTCCCCATGACTTGTGATTACTTTGCTGCTGCAGTCCTTCTTGAGCGCAAGTGTCAAGCACTGTCTCTGCCCTCCAGGAGGCCATGGGTTTAAAGGGCCGTGAGAGAAGGTCTGCCTCTGTCAACTGTGACATGGGTGGCGTGGTCAGTAGCCCTGGAGATGCAGTGCTGTGGGGACACACTTGTGGGATGGCCAGTCACATCAGGCTGGGGAGAGGAGAGGGGGAAACACAGAATGATAGTTAACTATGGCTACAGGTAGGGGCTGTGCTGAATCCAGATCATGAAGGACCCTGAATGCTGTCTTGGGAGGTATGGACTTCCCTATGGGCGACAGGGAGCCCCAGAGGGTTTCGCAGACCAGGCAATTAAAAAGCTGCTTCAGAAATCAGAGGGAGCGTGTAGACAAGGGCTAGAGAACCCTTCAGAGTTGGCTTCCTTCTTCTTTCAGAAGATCTCATTTCTGATTGTGTTATTCCCATAAGCAAGAATGTGAGCATAAGCATTTTTTTTTAATCTTTATTTTTGAGAGAGCGCGTGAGCATGGTAGGGACAAACAGAGCCTGATACGGGGCTCAAACTCATGAACCATGAGATCATGACCGGAGCCGAAGTCAGACGCTTAACTGACAGAGCCACCCAGGTGCCCTGAGCCTAAGCATTTGTTGCTTGTTAGCACGATTCGTGGCAGGGAAGGTCACAGTAGAGGTATAACCACGGGCAGCACAGGAGAAGTTTCCTCTCTGAGATTTTCATTGAAAAGGGAATGGCTGCCCAGCACCTGGGAGTTGCTGCATTAATAAAAGAACGAATCAACCAAACAATAAGCAGCAAAAACTGAACATAGGACAGTTGCCATGGTCATTAGAGTAGGACTTCAGGAAAACCGTAGACAGGTTGGCCTTGCCGTCTGGATGGAGACAGGACCCTAGAGTGTATCGCTTGTGCAGCCCAGGGCTGAGCAGACCTGGTGGGAGTGAGCCGCTTCCGGGTGACTGCCCTGCTCCGGGCCAGGGAGGGGAGCTTCAGAGAAGCAGGTTTGGTGTGACACCAGACTTTCCAGCATCCAGGGCATAAAGGAAATGTGCCCCTTCTTAGGCACCAGCAAAAAGGCCGGGTCTGTCGGGGAACAGAAGGGCCTAGAAGGGAGGCAGCGTGGCCCAGTGGGATCAGCACAGGTTTGGGAGTCAAAACACAGACCTGGCTCTCCTTCCTGCTCATGAGCTTGCTTCTCTGAACCCCAGTTTTATCGAAGTTAAAAAAAAAAAAATAATACCTACATCACAGAATTGTGGTGAGGGCTTAGATGAGAACAGAAGTCCCTGGCCCAGGACTCCAAGCGGGCACTCTCCTCCCTCCCAGAGGTGTGTGTGGTCCGTTAGTCTGTCTCCTTAACTTACTGATGGTTTTTCCCTCCTTTGTGATAGCAAAACCCCGTGTCTGCGTCTCCCCTCCCCAGCGGCACCAGCAGTCCGGCCCCGAAGAAGAGCACGGGCAGCGTTGACTATCTGGCCCTGGACTTCCAGCCGAGCTCCCCCGGCCCCCACCGCAAGGTATGGGCCCCGGCCTGTCTGGGAGTGGCGGAGCTCCCGGGTGCGGACTACATACTGCCTTTCCTGGAGTCTGGGTCTTACAGGGCTCACATGCCTCCTGCCCCCTGTACGGCTGAGCAAGTGGACGCACACCAGGGGGCATGAGCTGCTCAGGGTTACAGAGTGGGATCTAGGGTCCTGGTCTCAAGGTCCATCAACTAAGTGCCTCTGATACAGAGAGCTGCAGAGGGGACTCCTGGGCCCCGGAAAGCCCTCCACAGGAAGCATTCTTAGGTGCCGGGTGTCTGTGTGTGAGTGCTCCCCTCTGGCTGCTGCTTGCTGGCACCCAGCAAATTCTATCTGGAAGAGTCGCCACTCTTCCCCTAGGAGCTGGGAAATCAGGAGGGCTGACAAGAGGCTGTTACGTGAGCAGGAGGGACGATGTAGTCTGGGCTTTAAAGGCCAGTTTCAGAAACAGAAGACAGGCTCTCGAGGCCAGGCAGAGGCCCATCCCCTCGCTGTGCGGCAGCTCAGAACGAGCCCTGCTTCCTGACAACTCACAGCCACTTCCCTGTTATGTCCTCAGCCGTCCACGTCCTCCGTGACTTCTGATGAGAAGGTGGACTACGTTCAGGTGGACAAGGAGAAGACCCAGGCCCTGCAGAGCACCATGCAGGAGTGGACGGATGTGCGGCAGTCCTCGGAGCCTTCCAAGGGTGCCAAGCTGTGACACGGGCCACCGAGTCTAGGGAGGCACCTGGAGGTCGAGTCTCCGGCACCTCCCCATCTGTCTGCCCCCGTCTCCCGTTGTCCCCTCCACTCTGGCCTTCAAAGCACTTGCTGTCAGGGACCTTGAACCCTTCTCCTGGGAGGTAAGGGCCTGACTGAGGCACTACTCTGCCCACTCGGGGCCCACCTTTGATTTTTATCAGTCACGGCCCTGCCTCTACCCACCTTAGTTAGAGCTATTGCCAAAAAGCATCCTTCAGCCTCTTTCTGTCCCTTAGACCTGAGTACCTACTAGGCGCTGGGAGGGGCTGGGGCTCTGAGCCAGATTCCACACCTCACATACGGTCTCGGCCCTCAAGCCTCTCCCTCCAGCTACTGGGCTACCTCTCCTTCAGTCCCACAAGATGCCACATCGTCTCGCTGGCCCAGGGAGCCCAGGACCAGCAGACCAAAGTGGACATGGACTTCATCCTTGTCTGTCTTGGTAGGGGAGAGGCAAGGTCACCGAAAGATGGAGTTGAGAAGGAAGGTCAGAGGTGGTCTGGAGGGAGGGAGGAGTGAGACCCCAGATGCAGCTAGCAGGTGGTACGGGCAGGGGCCTCCTCACTTTGTGGCTGTTGTGGGCTGGGAGAGGGAGGAGGACAAAAGGAAGGAAAATGGAAGCCAGAAATCAGGAGCAGGTGGTGACAAGGACCCTGCAGGGTCCGGGTCCCCAGGACTGTGGAGCTTACAGGCCCTCTTCCCTAGGCATACCTGCTCAAGGAGGCTTGGACCGTGTGGGGTGGGGTGTGCAGCGGTCCTGAGGGGAGGCGATGCAGGGTCAGGATGGAGCGTGGGACAGACTGGAGGCGCTGCCGGGCCGTACACTGTAGTGGGGAGGGTGCAGCAGGTGAGTTTGTGCAAGACGGGTTGGGGGAGTGGGCAGACGGCTGACGGGGGGGGAGGCAGGGTGGAGCAGAAAGTGAAGGAGCCATGTGTGCGGGGCAGGGCCGACCGAAGGGGGCCGGGGAGAGCGGCGGCCCGAGCATCCCTAGGAGAGCTGGGGCTCGCGCCGGGGCCCAGCGCAGGTACGAGTGTGGTGCCGGGAGCCTGAGTGCTCACCCAGTTCTCAGAGCTGTTGCTCCCTGCTAGCCCCGTGGCACCCTGGGGCCAGGGAAGCCTGCCCTCTGCTCCCAGGGCCTGAAAGAGCATCACACCAGCCGTGCCCTCCCCTGCCGTGCACAGGCGGCAGGGCCTCACCCCAGCTACTTTCTGCTCAGCTGGCGAGGAGAGACCCAAATCTGCAGCGGTCGTATCCGCCCATGGGGGAACAGGCCGCCTTCCTCTCCCCCTGTCTAGCGGGGGTGGCTGCCGCTCACCGTTCTGCTCCTGCGAGCGCACACCTGGCCCTTCTCTAAGAAGCTTCCACCTGGCAGAAATTAGTTTCTGGACAGCAGCCCCCTCCTCGCTCAGCGAGCATGCTGGGGCCGGGTTCTGGGCACACAGTGATGCATCAGTTTGTGTGCTTGAGGAGACACCAGGACAGTGGCAACAGCTGTGACAGTGGAAATGTTGATGGAGAGGAAAGGAAAAGAAGGCTGTGTCCGCAGGAGGTTGGTGCAGGTTGGGCAGGAGGCGGGGGGTGCCTAACATGGGCCTCAGACGAAGATGCAGGGCTGGGGGCCCCATGGAGGAAGAAGGGAAGAGACTTGGAACGCCTTTGGGAGTATGGAGGGGGGGGGTCTGGTCCTTCCCCAGCTCTGGGGCTGGTGGCCTACACCGTGTCCTCTAAGGCCCTCTCCGCGGGGTCTCGTAGGGCAGAGGGTTTAATGGTGCTCCCCGTCAGCCCCAGGACGCCCTGATCATGTCAGCACTTTCTGAACGTACCACAATGTGAATGAAACTGGCTGGAGTCTTTAGAAATGGAGGTGTTCGGATCTGCTGTCCAAGGAGGCCTCTTTGCGGCTCTTCGTTCCTGTACCTCCCAGACCCTTCGGATGGAAGTGAGGGAGGAGGGAAGTGTAAGAGGAAATGGGCCTGTTGAAGGTGGAGACTCAGGCCTCACACCGACAGGTGTCTAGTATACATCTGTCAGTTCGGTTTAAAAAGCTGGTCAATGTCCCGCTGCCTGGTGGCCTGGCAAGAACAGACCCCAGGCTGGGGCCGCCTTCCCAGCCTAGCACAGCTCCCACGAGGACTCCACCTCTGCAAAGTTACACTGGAGCAGGGACACGGGCAAAGCCAGGTGTGAAGGAGCCACCCTCTTTGAAAGGGTGTTAGATTAGTCCCTGAGGGAGAACTCCCTGTTCTGGAACATCTTTCCGAGGGTCTGGCTCACCAGGGATGAGGAGCACCCAGAGCATCATTAGTTAACCCAGCCCCCTCCCACAGATGGACTTCAGTAACGTCTACATTGGAAACCCTTCAGCTATGTCTCGTTCCTAGGAGAGAAGCACAACTATTCTGGCGTGAGTGGATCAAGGGCTCAACTCCAGCCTGCCCTCTGGCCCCTTTACTTGCTGCAGGGCTACGGCCTTGGCCCCCACCCCCGTCCCCTTTTGCCAGAGCTCTGGTCTCCAGAGGACAGGGCGGAGGCAAGGTAGCACTTGGTCTGCAAACTGAGGGAAGCGGGGCTGGGCACGTAAGCTCTGAAGCTCCCTCTTCTCTGGGGGGTGGGGGGAGGGCCTGCAGTTTGGGGCTCCCCCGGTGGCCTACTGCGGGGGCCCCTGGAGATTCAGGATGTCATGTGGTAGTTGGTGGTGTGTATTCTTGTGTGTTGGCTACACGTGTCTTGAAATTTAGAATCATGTCGCACAGAATTGTCTATGTGTCGGGAAGAGAAAATGGGCTAGCAGCCCAGTCTTAGGTTCTTGCCCTGTTAGACCATTTAAAATTGACATTTAATTTTTCAAATCACTGTTGGTGCCTAATCACTTAAGTTATTAATTTATTCTGTTTTCTTTTAAAAAAAAAATTTGTAACCTGTATTTATCCTCTGGGAGTAGGTGCGGGGTGGGGTGGGAGCGTATTCCAGTGGGTCCTGTTTTTGCTGTGGTGACACATGGTACAGGCCTGGAGCTTGCAGGTCCCTTCTTACTGTGGTGGTGGAGCAGGACAACAATAAAGTCCATTAGAAGCAAACGGAGAAGCCTGCCTCATCTGAAGGGGATGGGGCCCACCCGCACGCACCCCCCGCCTGGGGGCCCCGGGAGGGTGCCACCTGCCCCCTTTCACTTTACTAGTAAGTGACTGGTACTTGTCCTTACCTTGGAGTATGCATTTCTGACGTGTAACATGGTGCACGGAGCGTGGAGAGGAATTCTGAGCCTGACATGGTCGCTCACAGCCTATGGGCCCAGCTTCTGGTCTGAGGTCTCAAGGGTCTTTCTCACCTAGAGCACCTCAACCCAGCACTGAGCCGCTGGCCACACTACTGCCTCCCTCCCTTCTAGAAGACGGGCGGGGTTGGTGGAAAGGGCTTGTGCGTCTCAAGCTGCGAGAAGAGCGAGGCGCAGGCCCTGGAGACATGAGGGGGCTGCCTCCCACCTTCCTGTGCCCCAAGGTTCTTAGAGGGAGGAAGGTGGGAGCGGTACTAGCCAGTCCTGGGCCGTTTTGAGCTCTCAGGATACAGAGCCCCGTGGTCTTCCTGCTGCCCGCACCTGGGTATGACCCCCCGCCCCCCACCCGCCGTTCCCAGCTCAGCCCAGAGGGCAGGGTCCTCACCTTTAACTCACCTCCCATGGCATATCACTAGAACCTAAGGGCACGGCCGACATCACAGCCACTGAGACAGAAGAATGACATCTTTAAAGGCTTCAGAGAACCTATTTTTATTCGTTTGAGACCCTGAGTCTCTCTCCTCTCCATTTAGAAGGGTACAGCAGTGTCAGGGCACAATGAGGTCAATAGCTGCTCCTCCACCAAACCATCCCCTCCCCCCAGGCCACCGCCCTAAGCTCTAAAGCCCCCTGAGGAGGAGCTGAGCCAGCCAGCTTTCCTCCGGACGGACTGTGGCTTCACGAGCAACACAAACACATTCGCAGTAAAATAAGGATTCTCTATCTTAACCAGAAAGGGGATGCAAAAGGTGGCATCTCAGGCACTGAGGCAGGCTAGGGGGACGAGGTCTGGGGATTAAGGGTCTCCCGCTGTGACCAGGGGACTGTCCTCCCCTCTAGGCACCGCTCTTGGGTGTGGAGGGAGACGGTCTCTGAGCCAGGCTGCTTCCCACCTCCACGCCTCTCGAGAAAAGTACAAAGGGCGCAGGCAACCACATACACTGCCTGTGACACCCGCTCAAACAAGCAAGGTTGTGGCCACCGCTGTGACACCCAGGCCCCTAGATCCTGCTCTGCTTTTTATAGTAGAGAGCAATAGGATTGTCTGAAAGGAGCTAGAAGGGAACTGCTACTTGATGCCAAAACGCTAGAGCTGTGGAGTTCAGCCCTGCTGGGGAGACGGGGGGCAAGGCCCAGACAGTGTCCATCTAAGCTGCTTCCAGTGGAGCAGGACACTTGGGTGTAAAATCTCAGAAGGGCCGATCCCAGTGGCGGGGGCTTGGGGCTCACCTCTGTATCTGAGTCGCTGCAGACCCTTCAGGCTGAGGTCCGGCGTCCCAGAAGCTTCCACGCCACCTCTCCCGCCTCCTCAGACCCCACGTGGCAGAGCGCCTCTGCCTCCGTCCCCACCCGGTTCCCAGAGGGAAGGGGTCACGGTCCTTCTCGGAGGTTTCAGGCCGGGGCAGAGTCCACATTAGAAGACCAGTCTGTGGAAGTCCCCACCACTGCCACCTGCAGGACTGCAGCCTCCAGGAGAGCCTTCGTCCTCATCCTTGTCTTCGTCGAAGCCCCTCCCCCAGTGCGGAGATGCGGGCAGTGCGGAGATGTAGGCCGCCCTGCTCCGGGCCTCCTTCTCCTGCTCCTGGGAACACAGGTGGGGGGCGGGGGAGCCGGTTAACACTCAGCCTCTGAGGCCGGGCGTCCCTTCTTGCCCCACCCCCACGCCATCCAGCACAGCGTCTCTGGGGGTCTTTCGCGGCCCCCAGGGCCACACACGCAGGGGCCACAGCTTCTGCCGAGGGTGTTCCAGCGCGGTGGGAGGATGGGTGGGAGAGATCCTTCCTTCTACCCTCTATCTCGGCTTCAAAACCCTTCTTCCTTCTCCCAGCAAAAACTCCCAGCCCCTGGGATAAAAGGAACGCATTCATACAAGATTGTGAATAACCAACAAGGGCCTGATGTGGCACCAGGGAGGAGGGTCACAGCACACAGGGA